AGAGAGAGAGAGAGAGAGAGAGAGAGAGAGAGAGAGAGAGAGAGAGAGAGAGAGAGAGAGAGAGAGAGTGTTACATGCTAAGCCTGCACACAGGCCCCGTTTCGGGGGCCTGACGGTTGCTGGGGGGCCCCAGGCCGCACACCATTAAGGCACGGCCCTGGAGGCCTACGACCAGCCTCAGGTCCGCAGGGTTCGATTAGAGGCAGCATGTGCGCCCGAATAGACTTACAGTCTATTCGGACCAAGGCTGCAGTTTGGGCCTTTTCCATCCACAGTCAGGCCCTTTCTGGTCAGGCTCGTTTCGTCCGGTAGCGGACACTGCCTGCTGCATTAACAGGGAGGGCCTGGACGCCCGGTAGGGAGCAAGGCAGGCCGTTTCAGGCCAGGACCAGGGGCACACCAGCTAGGCCCAGCGCTACATAGCTGGGCCAGGGCAGGGCAGGGACAGTTTGAATAGCTCACTTCTTGGCGGACACGCTGCTGGAGCTGTGGTATACAGCGCTGCGCTAGAGGTAGAGGTGTAGGTAGGGAGAAAGGCGGAGGCCCTACCTGCAGCGACAGAGTACGCCGGCGCGCCGGCGACGTGCAGCACAGCGACACGGCGGCGCGTTAGTACCTGGCGCGCCGGCGACGTGCAGCACAGTGACATGCTGGCGTGTTAGTACCTGGCGACCGTTACCTGCAGGTGAGACAGCGAGGAGGAGGACATCTTCTTCTTCTTCCTGTTCTCACCCTCCTTCCTTCCTCCTTTTTCTTCTTCTTCTTCTTCTTTCAGAGAGAGAGAGAGAGAGAGAGAGAGAGGTTACAGGCAGAGGTTACAGGCAGAGGTTACATCAGGCTATGAGGCACAGGATCTGACTCAACATTTTTGTGGCAGACATTGGTTGAACATTCGGCAGGGAGATTATTTTTGGAGTTCGCTATCGTGATCTTGGTCTTCTCCCTCATCTCCATCTTCGTCTCGCCCCTCCTCCATCACCTCATCCATCTTATTTCCCCATGTGTGCGTGCAAAGATGGACCTTTTCGTCCATGTGTGCGGTCCCTCCTCTCCTCTCACATGTGTGATGTGTGATGCTTGAGTCACGTCAGTATCTGACAGGTCAGGTCATATCTTTGAGTCTTCTTCTGTGCTACAGTGTGCTATTTTTGTAAGTATCTGGATGTACATTGCTCGTTGATGCTTTGCTGATGCTGCATTGTCCATTCGAGTCCTTTTCATCACTTTGCGGATCCTTTGGCTCCATATAGCTTGGTCGAGGATGTATCAGTTGGTATCGGAGGTGCGCTAGTGACGTAGGACTACAATCTGACCTGACAGACGATTAGGGAAATCGATCGATCGATCGATTGATTGATTGATTGATTGATTGATTGATTGATTGATTGATTGATTGATCGATTGATTGATTGATCGATCGATTGATTGGACAATTGATCGATTGATTGATTGATTGGTTGATTGATTGGTTGATTGATTAGGTAATCAATAACCCAAACAATCGACATTTTCTTATTAATCGCAAATCTGTCTAGTTGTCAAATTTCAAACTTTTTCTTCTTCTGAAAAATTTGGAGTTCTCTCTTTTGCGCAAATTCGTGCTTTTGTAAGTTCTGAATTGCGCATTAATCAGTGACTGAAAATTTTGGAAATTCGAATTTTGTGTTGCTTCGATAATCCGAAATTTTCTCTTTTTCAGCATGTCTCTCTTCGCAGTTCGTGTTTGTGAGTTACACTTCTCAAAATCCAAAATTGCTGCACAAACTCTCATGTGGAATATTTTGGACTTTTTTTTTTTTTGGGAATTATTCCGAACTTGCAAGATATATCTTTTTTTTTTGCAGGTCGGTCATTAATTCTACATCTGCAGTCTGAAGTCCGAAATATTTAAGAATTTTATTGTTATTTGTCAACTTTAGGGTTTTGGGGATCTGGGAGACCTATCGAACTTGAGATTTTGAAATTATTATTATTAATTTTCTCGAATATTTTTCTCTTCAAGCAAAGTTTGAACCTTTTTTTTTTTTTTTTTTGATTAGTGGCCTCCTATCTGGGTGATCAATGTGACTCCATGGGAGTAGGGCGATGCTTTCCAAGTGATGGTGTGTCGTTCCTCCCTCCCACCCACCCCATCTATGCTGCTGTCCATTCCTCTCATCTTCTTTTCTTCTTCCTCTTCCATCTCTTCTGCTGCGGGCATTAGTGAGTTGCCACCTCAGCATGGTGCCACCTGAGCACGGTGCCATGTCAGCAGGCCACATCAGCAGACGTTCATGCCATGTCACCAGCCACATCAGCAGCCCAACCATGCACGTCAGCAGGCTGGTGGCCTCTGCCACATCAGCACCGGCCACACATGCCAACACGATGGAACGCAAGGACAATGAGTCTGACGCAGACTACGAGGCTGGCTGACATGATGCTCGAGATTAAGCAAAGAGCATAGTGCCGCTCGAGGGAAGCCGAGGAGCAGCGTCGCCTTGCTGAATTACAGGAGCAAGCGCATGAGGACTCTGCACGTCAGGCTGCAGATGAAGCAAGACGAGCGCGCCGGGATGCATTACTTGAGGAGGCCAAAGCAAGACGAGCGCGCCGGGATGCATTACTCGAGGAGGCCGAATTCTTGACCACTGACTGGGACAAGTCGGCCAAGGAGGGTGCCTTCGAGACTGTGCGAAAGTTTTCCACGCTCATCAAGTGGATTGTGGACCTGGTGGCCACCTGCATGGCCCAGCAAGAGGACCAGAAAGTGCAGACATTGACCGCCTGCGCACACACTTCGGAACAGCGGCTCGTTGCAGCAACAGCCATTGGCCCCTCTAGCATCCGGATCGCATCAACAAATTGGAGGTTGAAGTAGGCACTTTGAAGAATGGTGCACGACTGCAACAAACGACAAATCAGCAGCTTCAGACCACCGATCAGCAGCTGGAGCAACAGATTCGTGCAGTAGTGCTAAATTCAGCCTTGGCACCCTCCAGCCACCCACCCAAGCTGGATGCCATCCCGGTCTTCAGAACTCTTCGAAGACCGAGCCTCTCCCTTGGTGGCAGCAGTTCACCTTGCGGTTGGACATGTATAAGATGCGTGGCCCCAACCGGCAATCTTGTCTGTATCACTGGTAGGGCGGCGCATGTCAAGCATGGATCGACAATCTCCTGTCCACGCACAAGGTTATAGTCTCCGAGCTGCACACAAAGATCAACTGGCAAGATCTCACGGCAGCATGGCACACGCGGTTCCAAGTGGAACCGCCCGAGCTCTGGGCAATGGAGAAGCTGCAGAAGTTCTACCAAAACTCCTTGCCGAGCACGGATTGGATCGCTGAGTTCCAACCCTTGGCATCCACGCCTGAGCTACCAATCAACTTCACTGGAACTAAGCAGTACTTCATTACGAGGTCGTGCCTGACAGTGCAAAATGCGTTGACACAGGTCACGGAGACACTCACCACAACTGAGTTACTCTTTAACAAGGCCCCGCAGATCATTGTGACGAACACGGAAGCCCACACCGCTCCTCGTTCGTCTTCCGCAGGCCTGAGCAGAGATCAGCATCGACCGAAAGTGGCCGTGGTTGCAGCAACTATGCCGCGACCAATTCAAACAATGAGGCTTCTTCATCAGATCAGGGAGATATGTCAGCAGCTGCCCGGAATGGTGGCCGCCCGACAAAGGGTCGATGACGTGGCAAATCGAGGACAAACACCTCTTCATCCCCCGGGACCGGAACGGCAGCTCGAGAACCTTGGCTCCATTATGGCATCTCGGAGGGCGTCGACAAGATCCACACCAAGTACCGATATTGTTTGTGGTGCAACAGTGACGCACACGACACCGCGAACTGTCCCATGAAAGCCAAGGGGAAGACCCATTCTGGAAAGTGATACGGCTGCACTCTCGACGCCTTTGGAACAGGGTGCTTCACGAGCCACCTCCCTTAGTTTCGAGGCACAAGTGGGATTCATGAGTCATCTTCTTCATTCTTTCGAGGACTTTGCTGCTCAGCTCGTTCCACCACTAAATTCTCTAGCTCAAGGATTAGGTGTGTGTGCGGTTTCCTCTCTGTGCTGCAGCGACCCTATTTCGTTGTCTTGTGGTTCTTCAAGGGATTTGGCACGCGAGTTCAACGTGGAGGTCTTGGACTCGTTGTCGACCGAGGAATTTGCATGGCTTCCTCTCCCTTCCACAGGCTGCGTACCGGGAGTGCAATGCGCAACAGTATGCGCCCATTGTCTTGTGGTTCTTCAAGGGATTCGACACGCGAGTTCAACGTGGAGGTCTTGCACTCGTTGTTGCCCGAGGAATTTGAATGGCTTCCTCTCCCTTCCACGGGCTGCGTATCGGGAGTGCAATGCGCAGTACTATGCGCCCATTTGCACACGTATTTGTCCTTCTATGCAACACCAACTTCGTCGATGGATGATGAAGTCGTGCTGGAGGACCTCCTTGCGTATATCTCCAAGGTGGCCTGCGAGTTTTGCACGCAGTGGTACGATGAGAACAACACACCGCTCCTTTATGTCCACATCCAAGTTGGGCAAGCGTCCTGCGGCGCTTTGCTGGATAGCGGCGCGACTCGCAATTTCATGAGCGAGTCCTTTATACAAAGGGCCAGCCTTGGCGCACAAGTTCGAAGGAAGCCACATCCTACGACGGTCAAGATGGCGGACTGTCGGACGAAACAACTGGGAACCCCCCCCCCAAAAAAAAACACACGTTCAAAGTTTTAATGCAGATTTCGACCGATCTCAAATAGCGCAGTCGGAATCCGCAGAAGAAGAAGCTGAATCCCCCCTGGGCCAGTCCGGCCCAGGTTGAACCTGGCGATCTGAACCGGCCTGCCGGCCCAGCTTTGGCCTAAATGGATTCCTGTCTTTTACTGACCTTGTCTTTCTCATCCAAGGCAAATGATGACACCTATTTATTTATTTTGTTGTGTACAAGGGGATTGCTCTAACATTGTTGAATCCATCAGGATATGAAGTCGTCATTTGAAAAAAAGAAGCTTCCTGACAGCTAGTATGTGTGTAGTACTGGGTATCATTCAGCCACCAGTTCTGGGTTATGAGTTGAATATCTGACAGTCTTGCGGTTTTATCCACAGGAATTGGTTCTGCAACCCTCTATGCAAGATGGTGGCTCGGCCCGTGTGTCGAGTGTGCGGGTAATAAATGGGCAATCTCTTACTGTATATGGAGCATCCTGTGAGAAGCAAAACAAATTCAATGGATGCGGCAGCAATGTAGGCAAGGAGAGCTCACTGAGGAGCAGAAATGGTCGCTCAGACTCCGGCATATGCTCTACTGTTGCCTGTCACAAGTTCATGTCTGAACTACATGGCAAGCCATGTGGTTCCGAAACAGCCGGATGTGTGATGTTGACCTCGTCACATGATGAAGGGATGAACGAGTTTTGCCCAGTATCAGATCACACTCCATCCACAGAGGTCTATATTGCTCCTGAAGACCTGGTTTGCTCTGTTGCACAAGGGGAAGACTGCTACAAGAGCGAGGATCTAAATTGTCAGAAGCCCGAAACAGATGCACGTGCTCTTGCCTGTGGCATTGGAATGATGCCTAAAGCTGCGGAATATGGCGAGAGGAGAGGTGAAAGAGGGGTGATAGATCGACAAGGGTATGTTATGCAGATTGAGGATATGGGGTGTGGTCATGACAGTGCGAAGGATCACATGTTGACAACTTGTAGACAGCAAGAAGTGCCTGAACGGCGTGCTGATAGGCTGAGCTGTGAAGATGGAGTTGATCAAGAAACTGAAGGGTGTGTGGAACAGGGTGCTAAGAATGATATGCCTTACGGGAATGGGCAGCGCAATGCGAAGAGGAGGGGAGAGGATTTGCAGCCTGGCGTGGAAGAAGGTACAGTCGGTTTATCGGTAACTGCTGCCGAGGCTTTGGTGATCAGGGGAATGATCGAAACGTGTGGGGGGGGGATGAAGTGGGACATCGAAAGAGCCGCAATTGAAATCGCAGTGCGTTTACGGAGGAACCGTCAGGAGATGCAGCTGGATGTATATTCTTATGAATCGGCCGACACAGTGTATTATGCTGGTGATGAAGATGAGACTGAGATTCTCGATGAAGAGATGGAGGATGCATTCAAGGATGTTGGATTGAGTATTTCAAGAGTAGCAGAGTCCCACCATTCTGGTGATGTTGCGTGCTGCAAGGGGGACCAGAGAGCCAATTTGGCAGACAGAATATGTACAGAGCATTTGGAAAATCAAGCTCATGACGGTGGTGATGATGATGATCATCATGAATTCAATGATGGTAACGGGGATGCTTTGTATCAGGACAATGTGCATGAAGGTACTCCCCTTGACAACAATTGCTTTGTTCAGTCTGACAATCGCAATGAATTTCAATACAAGAAGAGGGGCAGGTTGGTGAAGGGTCATGGGGGTGGGGGAGGTCATTACGATGAGAGCTTCGCAGGAGAAGTAGGCACAGCATCCAGGCTTAAGGCAGATGGGAATGGCCTTTCGTGCCAATCTGGATCACAGGAGGTGGAGAGAGTCACCTGTTGTGACAAGCTTGAGACTGCTGTTGGCAAAAAGGCCATGCCTGTTATGGGAGACAACAACTGTAATGACTACGCGGCTCCACGGAGGATGAACAACGGGTATAATGCAGGCCATGAGAATGAAGTTGGAGAGGATCAGAGGAGAGATGAAGGTGGGATTGATGATGTAAATAAGGTAAAAGTTGTGTGTGCAGAAGATGAAATAGATGAAAGTGTGAAAGAGTTTCAAGATTGTCACCAAGGCAGAGCGACACTCACAGGAAATGAGCCTGAGCAGCTTGAAATGAATGCAAGGTTGAGGAACGCAACCTGCATGAATCCACTTATTGCAGCCGTCGGATCAGTCCAAATGTCCTCTTCAGTGTCGGTCGTTCCTGACACATGTCCAGAGAGTGTGGACGTGGAATCGAGGGATCAAACAGGACAGGAAACAGCAGATGTCAATGAAGTGGATAAAGTGAATTACTGTGAGCGAAAACTCGGCGAGCTCTTGCCGATCGCTGATGGCACAGCAGCGATGATGACGATAGAGCCAAGGAAAAAGTTGATGGTGCATAGCACAAGCGATCTTCGTGCTACTGCCGATGTTATAGAGTCGGCTGGAATGAAGATAACTCCTCGTGAAAATGACTGCGAAGGAGAAACTGCCATGGTGGCTCGCTTTAGTGGCGAGCAGTTCACTAAGGGATGTGGATTTGACATCAGCAGCCACTCCAGGTCTGTGCAATCGAATGAAGATGCTCACGTGGAGGGGATTGGCAGGTCGGTTAAGGGGGGAAAAGGGGGATGGAGTGCTGTGGCTACTGGTGGTCGTAAAGCAGAAGTTGAAGGGCCTGCAGAGAATCGTACTGAGAGCATCACCAGAAAACATTCTCAGTGTATGAATGCTGCTGTGGAGAGCGCGGAAATTGAGTCCCAGAAACTATTTGTGTGTGGACTTTTGCCTAACAATGAACAATTGTCAGGAAAAAAAGAGATGTGCACCACACTCCATGATGAGTTTAAAGATGCTAGGCGTGCTAAAGCTGTGCTGGAGGGGAATATGAATGCAGGCACACCGGAGGAGGTCCTTGAAGATGTCTATCTTCTCGAAACAGATATGGTACGTACTCGGTTGTACCTGCAGTTAGATATTTCCAGACTTTAATTTTGAGGAAAATGCTCTCGTTTTCCCCTTTTTCCTCAGTGGGTTCAGGTGGAGGATGGTAGTAAGACAAAACGAACTCGCAAATGGCTTCAGTGATTCTTGGCAAAAAAAAGCAAAAACAATGTGTCCGGGAATCTGTGGTGCTTCCTCAAGCACGATGAACAAGCTCTTGCCAGAGCTCTCTCTCTCTCTCTCACTCTTCCCCTTCTCTCCCCTATCCTTCTTCTCCTCTCATTTATCCTCTCTCTCCTTTCTGTCCTCTGTCTGTTTGCTGTCTCCTATCTTGTTGCCCGTTCTTCCCCCTTCTTTCTTTGTCCTCTCTCCTTCTCTCTGCTCCTCTCTCCTCCTCTCCTCCTCTCCTCCTCTCCTCCTCTCCTCCTCTCCTCTGCTCCCCCTCTCCCCCTCTTCTCCCGCTCCCTGTCTCACTCTGCCCCTAGTTTCTGTTTTTAGCAATCTCACTTGTTTGAAGAGCTCTGCATACAAGTTTTTTCTTTGGCTTGAACCTCCACACACAGCCCTGCTTCACGTTGTAATCGATGCGATCTACCTTTCGTTGTGTCTGGTCCTTTTCGGTTTTGAATCTTTTGATAGATCAACACCATGAAGTATGATTGTTGTCCTTTTATCTAAACGCGTGGTGCGATTCTTTGGATCCACACCTGTTGTTCTGTGCAGTCCTTGGCTGCTACAGGAATCAAGATTATGAGGTTTGTGATGCATGTTTGCCTTCTAGCTCTTGGTTACTTTCGCACTTGTCCAAGCAAAAGTGAAACTGTCATTCTGAACACAAGCATGCATCTGGAGTGGTTAGTCACCAATTAGGGGTTTGAAAATCGGCTATCTTCATGTTCTGCATCGCCTTTCAGACTTTCTTGGAGTGTTCGAATTCGGACATACATCTCAGTGGTTTGAACTCTGAAGGGCACTTGCAATCAATGTGCATACTTACTGATATCGGTAGAGTGTATGTGTGTGTGTGCAATGGTTGTTGTTAGAGTGTCTGAGAACTTCACGTTCTTTCTGCATGTTCCACAACGACTTTCACACGTTTCTTCAGAGTTTGAAAGTGGACATACGTTTCAGCGGTTTGAACTCTGAAGGGCACTTGCAATCAATGTTGCATGCTTACTGATATCGTTAGAGTGAACGATTGTGTGTGTGTTTGTACATAATGGTCTGAATGAGTGACTAGGGGACCTGTTTCGGCTACGCCCGCAATGGAATGTTTGCCAAGAAGTTGATGGACTCTCTCTCTGTCTCTCTCTCTCTCTCTCTCACACACACACACACACACACACACACACACACACACACACACACACACAAAGATGGCGATGGACTCTCTCTCTCTCTCTGTTTCGCACACACGCTTGCGGATTTTCCACTTCTTTTTTTCTTCTATTTAATTAGTCACGATG